CGCGAAACCTCCGAGCCAACGAGCCCATCCAAGTAGAGAATGAACGTAACAGCCTGGGGCAGACAAGGCAATGTTTCATGTCATCTAGGTTGATGATGGGCCCATGGGCTGGTCAGGGCAGGGACATCCAAACATACAACCCCGAGGTGCAGCACGAAATCTCGAACTCGTACAGACACAACGCGATAATATACGAATGTTGGCCAGGGGGATACACGCAGTGGCGCGTTTCGTGAGGGCCTTGGCCCTGGCGCAAACACGGCCAATGCCCAGAGGAGTAGCCCCAAGGATCCAGGCACATGCGCGACGGAGAAAACCGTCATGTGGGGGGGGGGGCGGCGGGAACGTGATGACGTTTCAACTCACGCATGTTTTGTTTCTGCACATCCAAACGTCCGCATGCAGTAGGTAAGCTGCGAACCATGACATCGCCCCGAAAGAGAAAGAGATGCGCGAGGAAACAGGCGGTGCACCATCTGGTGACTCGACGGTAGGGGCACCAGTTATCACCAGCAAAGACACTTGAAATCACCGCGCGGATGCGTGGGAGTTCATCGCAACGAGCAGTATCGCGGGCTCGAGTCGCATCTGCAATGAGGGAGAGCCTAGGCAATTCGATCGGGAAGCCGTACATTGCGAGGTGAGTGCGCATGTCGTAGGAGAAGGCATTGTTAGGCCCGGGGGGCAAAATGCGCACGCGCGAATGGCAAAGTCTGTCTAACTTACGCGTGAGCTTATGCAGCTGGGGCACGAAATACAAGAGGGAGACGCGTGACGTTTTGAAAAGGACAACAGATTGAGCCAAACCCAGCCCCAGGTCACGAAATTCGCGGGCACGTTTCCTGAGTTTAATGCTGTTTTCTTTGGTAGCAACCTCCTCAGCCCCAGACGCAATCCAGATCCCAAGGTAATTATTTGGGGCGCGCGGTGATTTCGGCGAGGTGTCAAGTGGATCCAAAGTCATCCAGAAGGTCCAGAAGAGGTTCACATATCCGATTGTAGACAAGCACCATCTGACCTTTCGGGAAAGTGAGCGCCAGCCCTCTCAAGCACGATTGAGCAAATTCAGACTCTGGATGAGGGGCTCGACACCATCAAAAAGGCACCGCGGCAGGCCAAAGCAGAAGTCGTCAGCAAATGCGAACGTCTTAATTCGACGCATCAGGAGACGCGGCTGCAGCCATGCCGGCACCGGCTCAACTGCAAATGCGAAGAGGAGCATAGAACTTGGGCCTCCTTTGCCGAACACCTCTGCCGATGGGGAACGAACCAAAGGGACGACCATATATGTATATATATATATACATATATATACATAGAGAGAAATGTTATTTAGGCAAAGGTTCTGGCAAAAGAGAATGATGGCTATTGGGGGCCCCATGGGGGCCGACGCCTCGAGGGCCGAGGAGATCTCGATGGAGGGGAAGGCGGATTCGAAATCCGCAAGGACACGACCACTAGAGCAACGATCACGGAGGTGGTGGGAAAGGAGGAAGCTTTCCGCCTCCGTCAGATTGGCGAGCATGTCACGGCCACGGAAGCATTTCTGATGCGGACTGAACAAGCAGTGCTTGGCGATCCCCCTTGCCAAGACCATCGCAGTCGAAGCAAAAGGGAGCTTCGCGCCTGCGTTTGTCATGCTGAGGGGTCTGGCAACCGCTGGCTCTCGATGCCCCCCCCGCCCCGACCTCATGCCGGCGAATTTTCACGGGGGGCGGCCATGGGGATGCGTTTCATGCCCCAGGGGTGCCAGCGCGAGGGTCATGAAAGAAGGGAAGATATCACTCAGAGAGAAGCAGGCCAGCAGCGGGGACCCTCCAGGCCGGGCGCGGAACGCCACCCTCTCCAGGCACGCTGTCCGTGCCCCCTTCGATCACGCGCGTCCATTCGCCATCCCCCATCATCCATCTGTTTTCCATGAGATAACCCTCATCCGCGGCGACGGGCACATCAGGCCACTTCTGAACAAAATGAAGCATCTCGGGCCTGAGGGGCTCGTCGTCCTCGGTCGCTGCAAAGACTGCGATGCAGTGTTCCTGGAGCGCTTGGGCAGCCCCCCCCCCCTGCCCTGCTGGAGTCCCCAGACGCCGAGAGGGCCCCGTGGAGCCAGGTGGGCCGCTTCACATTCCGCCACAGTTCCTTCCGGGCCGCCAGCATCCGCCGAGCATTGTCAACGACGTCCGACGGGCCCGCAACGGGGGCTCGACTATGCTTGTCCTCCTCAGCCGACAATAGAGTGGTGGAGGCTCTGCGTGCGAGGGCAACGGGCATCGATGTGGGCATCCTGGAGGCCAGCAGGAAAGTGCCGAACAAGATACGGGCAAGCGCTGATGGCCACGCCGAGCTTGATAGTCTCCAGCACGCCAGGCACGGAGGGCTTGCAGAGAACGAAAATGTTTGGACTCCGTAGAACCAGTTTGTTCCAGGTTGACGATGCGTTTAACCTCGTCAGCATCTTCGGACATCAGAAACTTGGACTCAGCAAGACGGCCCATCGGGTCGCCATCAAGGGGCACATCAATCGCATCTTCCAGACGATCAGTAGAAAACGGGCGCCGAGTAATCCAGGGGGCGATGCGCTTAGGGGCATCCTGTGTCTTGAAAATGCAGATGGGCAATCGGGATGTGGTCCGAGACCATATCGGCCTTCAGGTGCCCGAGGACTTCGCATTCAATATTGTGAGGCCAGTGGCCATGGCAGATGGGATCGCACTGTGGGCACGATCCAGCCTAGTAGCGTTGGTAGTAGCTCCATCCCTGACTTCTGCCCTCCTATCCCCAAACTGGTAAAACTCAAACCGTGAAACGATGCCGTGTGGTTGTCATCTCCAGGCGAACCATCCGCTGCCATCCGCGCGAAGTCGTCCGCATGATGAGAGCGCAAAATTCCAGTCGCCTACCAGCGCAGTTGAACGCTCGGCAGGTGGAGAGAGGGCGTGTCGGCTGTCACGTAGTGCACTAGCAGATATGATCGCGAGGTCGTTCGCGTTAGACATGTGAGCATTGAAAATACAAAAACTGTTATTGGGCGCAGAGAGGTGGGAATTGATGAAGCGACCATCGATGACAGAGGAGTGCGAGATGGCGGCGCAGAGATTCGCGAAACCAGGCTGCATACATGCAGTGACTCCACCATTGCTGGCAGACGCAGGGAAAAAGGGGCTGACCGATCTCAAAATGACGAACCTCTCGCCGAAGCTCATTAATATCCGCAATCTGGCCGTGAGTTTCTTGCGCGCAGTATACCGTGATCTGCTTCGCGAGCTTCCGAAAACGAGCGTAGCAAGGGGCTGCTTTCGTACTTCGATGAACGGCGGCAAAGAGGGCAGACGCATTCTGACAAAAAGCGATCTTCATCTGGGAGGGGGGGGGGGGGAAACGGACGGGCCCTGATCGGAGCAGACGACAGAGGCAGCGGGCTCGGGCCCCCAGGCGCACCAAGGAGCGGAACACCGCCAGTGAGGGCACACGACGGGGAGGGAGGCACACAGTCGGGCCAATCGGCCACTGGATCCGAGCAGCTAAATTCACTGTTTCGGGGGCGCTGCGCCCATAGCCAGAGGCCAGCCACCCTCCCCCCTAAAAGGGCAGCGAGGCGTTCAGGTGATCGATGCCTTCCTGAATGCGCGTGAGGAGGGGAGACGCAAGGGCATGACATTCTGCAAACAGCTCAAGGCAAAGACGTGGCGATTTCGGCTGGTCAGCCTCATGAGGGGTCAGCTCGAAGCGGCGCAGATGCACAGGATCCTCAGGCGTTCGGAGGACGTATACACCGTTTCCCGAACCAGTGGGCCCCATAGCTTTGCAAACTTGCTGCGTAGCTGTAGCGATTAAACCACGAACCGTCCACACCGCGAGGAAGAGCATACGGGTGCCTGGTTCGAGGTCGCGCTTGGCACGAAGGAGGATATGTTGTTGCGGGTAGATTTGGTCGAGGAAGGCAATCGGGGCTTGGGAGTCGTATTGAAAAAGTCAAGGATTTGGGGCAATCCGCGAAGTCGAGGACAACCTTCTTGGTCATGCACTCGGTGCGCACAATTGGCCGAGGACGGTCCTGCGGGATCCCAGCCATGATGAACAGATCAGCGGTTCTCGTGAGAGACGTCTGCACCAACTTCCGAGATAAGCCAACAATGACAATACAGTGAGCACGCTCCATGGCCGCCTGCTTGGACTCTGGGGCCCGCGAGGAACGCTGTGTAGATGCCGAGTGAGGGGTAGGGGGCACTTGAGCTCAGAGAAGGACTCAAAATGCTTCGACATGCTTGCCACCCTCGCGTCGACCGCCTCTTGGGCAGCGTGGGCGATGGAGGCGGCAATGCCATGCTCGATCTCCATAATGCGGGCGCATTGGGCCAGCCCTTCGGCTACGTTTCAAGCTGAAGCCGCGGGGTGACGGCTTCAACTTGAGCCAAAATGGCTACGGACCACAGCCAATGGATCTTGGGCTTCCTTGGAAGGGACGCAACAGGGCCGAGGCGCACTGGATATGGACAACATTGAGCCTCCTGGAATTAGGTTTGCATCCGTATCCAGTGCGCCTACATTTTCTGGGGAAGGGAGCCAAAAACTCTGAGCTGCAGCGTATATGGACACAAGTCTTGCCCAGACATTCCTCGCCGATAGGGGCCTGATAGCTCACCCTGCCCAGGAGCGTGGCGATTCGCTATCGAGGGCCTATCGACGATCTATCGACGATGGATTGCCGATCCCACCCTGAGCTGGGCCCCCTCTACCGTCCCCCCCCCCCCCCCTCCTGAGCTGGTCCCCCCTGCCCTGGCCCTCTCTTCACTGCGCCCATGGGGGGAGGGCAGGGAGGTGCCCTTGTCGAGCCCTAAGGGCCCCCTTCTGGACCGAAACGGCTTAATCCAGGGGCCCTACAGGGCCCCCGTTCGGCAGCCCTCGCTGCCCCTCCCCACGTACCGCCTCCTCCTCGCGCGCCCTCCACCCCCCCCCCTGCGACCTGCCCCCGACCCCACCCTGGGCGGGAGCCGCACGTCCTGCCCCCGCGGCGGCGCGGCGACCCCCGGCACCGGGGAGGAGGCGCGGCGGCACGCCCCGCCGCCGCGCCGGGCGGGCCTCTCCCCGTGCACGACAGGGCGGCCGGAGGGGAGGAGCGCTTGGAGGGAGCCGCTGTCCCCGTTTGGGGTCCCCGGGTGGTCGAACGAGGTGCTGCTGAGACACTCTGGTATCCCAGATCCCCTCGAGCCATGAAAAAATCACGACGGACAATGTTTCGCTGTTTTCGGCCGTCGGGGGCCCTTATTGGGCCTTGGGGCCTCCCAATACGCCTAGGGATGCAGAGGCTGTCCCGGGGGACGTGGTCGGGAGGTCGGGGGCAGCAGCATCAGCGTCACCATCGTCCTCCACCTGCTCATCCTCCCCTGCAGTACCAGAAGCCGGCTTTTGTTTGAGGGAGGGTAGCTGCTGGCGTGGGGGGGTTGTGGCCGCGGGCGCTTGAACCGAAGAGGAGAACAAGTGAGGGAGGAGCAGAAGGGAGGTCGCCGAAAAGGAGGTGGCCGCGGGCGCTCGAGCCGAGGAGGAGAAACAAGGAGGGAGGAGGGCAGGAAGGTAGCCGAGGAGGAGGTGGTCGCGGGCGCTCGAGCCGAAGAGGAGAGGAAGGAGGGGAGGGGAGGGCGGAGGGGAGGGGTGTCGCCGAGGAGGAGTAGGAGGTTGGGGAGGGAAGCGCGGAGTATAAGGAGGAGTGCGTGCGGGAGGGAGGCGTGGCGTAGAAGCAGGAGTGCAGGGGAGGAGCGCAGGGATCGGCAGCGGGGAAGCGGGGGGAGTTGTAGGCTTGATTTGTGGGCCGTTCTAGACACAGGTCTCCATAGATCGCAGGGCGCACTGCAGTCCCCTGTGCCCAGGGAAGAAAAGCGGCGGCGAAGACCGAGACGACCCGAGAAACGGCCCAGAAAACGGCCACCGCCACGACTCGTCAGCAGGGGGCGGAGGGAGGGGGAGGGCGTCTTGGAACCCAGACTCCCTCGAGTCACGAAGAATTCATGACCGAAGGTGCTTCGCTCTGTTTGACCTTCGCGGGCCTTCAGCGGGCCTCGGGGCTGTCACAAAACGACTCGGGATGAAAGGCCGGCCCTGGGGAGTGGGTCGAGACCTGTGGGGGTCGATTCTGCGAAAAGAACATGACGTCGGGGGTCTGGGAAAGATGCCGCTTCTTAGTAGGCGCAAGCCCTACATCCACAGATGTGGCCCGCGCTTTCGAGGAAGCAGGGGTGCTTCCAAGAAGCCATTCCCCGTCCACCCCCACCCTCCTCTTGCCATCGCTCGGACGTCCATCGCCCGTGCATGTTGCGGTGTTGTGCGTTTATTTGTTCGCAGGCTGCTTCGGAATAATCTAGGATGCTACTCGGTGGTCCTCGTCGGGAAAAAAAGCCTACGTCCGAGCGGTGCCAAGCGCTCTGCGCCTGGCTGAGGGAGGGGGTGTCGCGGTGCACCGCTCCAGCGGCCAGCGACCCAGTGCCGCGGAGGTCCTATTCGGGCGCCCTCGACCACCGAGCTCTCGAAGATCGAGGCCTGCAATCTATGGAAGCGGCGGGCCCTCTGGAAAGGCTTCGCAAGCGCCCAGCGGGAAGCGCTCCCGACGCAATGATCGGCGAACGGCTCCTAAGCCTCCTACCCCTTCACACTTATACTCCTTGCCCTCTTCCCACTCCTACCGCTCCTCTTCCTCCGTCTCCTCCTCCTCCTCCTCCTCCTCATCTTCATCACAATATTCATCACCATCTCCATCACCATCATCATCATAACCACCACCATCATCACCATCATCATCACCATCATCACCATCATCGTAATCAGCATTATCATAATCAGCATCATCACCATCATCGTCATCATCATCACCATCATCATCAGCATCAGCATAATCAGCATCATCACCATCATCGTCATCATCATCACCATCATTATCAGCATCATCATCATCGTCACCATCGTCATCATCGTCGTCAGGATTATCATCTTCAACATCGTCGTCATCATCAGCAGCATCACACATCAGCATGAGCATCATAATCAGCATCAGCATCAGCATCAACATCATCACCAACAACATCATCAACATCAACATCCACATCATCAACATCATCATCAACATCATCATCATCATGGTCATCATCATCATCATCATCATCATCATCATCATCATCATCATCATCATAATCGTCATCACCATCATCAGCATCATCATCCGTGTTCCTCCACCGTCTCGTCGTCGTCCTCCTCCTCCTCCTCCTCCTCCTCCTCCTACTCCTCCGCCTGCCTCCCCCTTGTCGGTTATCACCATCATCACACTAATCACCATCACAACCACCATCATCAACACCATACTCCTCCTCTCCACTATCATCATTTGTCCCATCATCGCCGCTGCCATCACCTACACTGATCACCACCACCATCCTCAGCATTGCCACGACCACGAGCACCACCATCCTCGCCATCGCAACCGCCACCATCATCACTGTCGTCGTCGTCATGACCCTGCTCCGTATGCTCAGCCCTCTGCTTCTGCTCCCTCTGCCTCCCCCCCCCCCTCCTCCTGCCCCTCCCTAGATGCCGGATGCTGCGGGCATTGATACCATTCAAATAGCGCTGCCCTCCCCTCCCCGGCGGCCGTCGCTGGCAGGATATGCGGAAGTCAAATCAGCCGTCCAGACAATGAGATGTGGGTCCCAGAGGCAAGAGACGAGAAGATAAAGGACGGGAGGCCAGAGGGAGGAAACCTCCTTGAGGGGGAACTGTAGGGGGGGCCAGCTCGGGGGAGAAACATCGAGGTGGTCGTCGATCGATCGGCGATAGGCCCTCGATAGCGAGTCCCCACGCTCCTTTGCTGGGCTATCAAGCCCCCCTATCGGCGAGGAGTGAGCGATTGGCGGTCGATTTTCCTTCCTCTGAGCTATTCCGCCCTATCGCACCTCGGCGGGTCTTCAGCGGCCGTTCGGGATGATTCCGGCACCCCCCAAACGCTCCCAGCGTGTTGCAGCTGATGGAAACTAGCTTGGGCCTCGAGCACTTTCGAAAGCACATAATCCCCCTGAGCCGATCCCCCCCTGATTCTACCCCTCCTCCCCTACCCTGATATCCTCCGATATGTCTTTGTTCAATCCTCGGCCCCATAGCTCCCGACCCCTTTCCCAAGGAACACGCTTCGCCTCAAATGCACTCTTGCTGGCCCAAGGGCTCGACAACGAGCCCCGGGCAAAGGCCGATATGAAAGGAAAACGCCAGAAACAAATAAATCACACCGTCGGAGATCCGACACTAAGGAAAACCGACAGAAAACGGAAAGACTCAAACATTCCGACCATCGATCCTCGAATGCCAACGGTAAAACCCTCCTGTATGTGATCCGAACTGATGGGGTCAGATGATGGCGCCGCATCGCCAGTGTATCGGCGCTGTATCGGCGATGTCGGCGATGTATCGGCACCGTCGGCGTGGCGAACATCGGGCTCCACATCGAGCCGCATCGCCGATACTTCGGCGATGCGGCGCGATCCCCCGACCCCATCTACGTGGACCCCATCTGGGAGGCCTACAAAAGAGGAGGAGGAGGATGTGGAGGAGGAAGAGGAGGAACAGGAGGAGGAGGAGGAGGAAATGGAGAGGAGAAGGAGGAGGAGGAGGAGGAGGAGGAGGAGGAAGCGTGCAGTGGCACGTGGTAATGTCCCTCTCCCTCCCGGCGGCAGCTGGTATACAAAAAGAAAGTAAAGGGCTGGTTCCGTTCCCCTTTCAGTTCTCAGCTGTCTGTGACGCGTCTTGAGCCACAGTGGCGTCGAAAAAAAAGTCTCGGTAGGAACTGCTATTTCCAGCCCAAAACCGTGCAACGTGCGCGCGGGGCCTCTGAATAGCTGCTCTAGAGGGCCCCAAGAGAAAAAATAGCAACTCACTCACGTGATGGCTCAAAACTGCTGATGCAAATTCTGGTAATAGTACGCTGGCACAAAGCAACGAGAGAGGAGGCTGAATTACGGGATGCTACATTATCTGGGCAAGGTGGTGAGCGGCGGCGGCACTAGCAGGCGACAGTAAGCTGGCCGAACGAGCGAGTTCATCTTGTACCAGTACGTATTCAGAACGTCCGTGGTCTTCACAGTGTTATATTTTGCTCGTGGGCTTTGCTTTGAAACTCCATCGTTTTGACTCGTGCTTCGGAGTCCATTGTCCATGGTTCAGCGCGCTCATGTCATAAGCCTGCGAATGCTGCCCTTCGTGAATCCATTACACAACAAACCTCTCATATCTATTCATACCAACTCCGTGATAATACCGCGATCTAGCCTTTGCCTGCCTTTCATCACCCTGTACGCTAGGTGTCGTTCCGTGGGTTACTGTACTTATGCAGCTGTACGTGCCTTGAAGAATGACTCGCTGTCCGTGAATACCACAATCTTCCTGCTGAACCCGCCGCTCTCACCATATGCCGCAAGAGTGGTCGCTGAACAAGAACCCGTGTCAATCTCGTGCAAAAGTCCACCCAACACAGTACACATAGAAACTGCATCTCCAACTGCTCCAGCCTCTGCGCTGAACGCGTTCCAGTTCACTCGGGGTTGTTTCTTGCTGGTCGCCCCGAACATATGTAACTTACACCATATACGTGAACTACTGTGCTGACAAAGACCAGTAACACCCGCTCATAATGCAAGACAGTCCAGCTAGTCTGCTCGAAATGCTGAATCCACAATACGGCACAAAGCAGTGCTGCCTTCCATCGGCGAGTATCAGACTCCAGCATGATGTGCTTGTGCCAACTTACGACTAGTATTCAATACCTGTGCGTGTCGATATATCAACTGCTTGGCGTCCCTCTGACTTAACCCACGAAAACTTGAATTGGTGCCCGTGATTGAGGCATCCAAGAAAATGCTCCAAGACGACTGCGCGCCTGGGTGTGCAAGTCCGCATTGAGATCGCAATCAGGTCGGTGAGACGAATGCGCTGGCAAAAGTATCAGCAGATGCAATTCCGCGATGTAGCCCTTCTCGCGGGTATACATAAAATTATTGTCCCTGGCCTGCTCGCGCTCGACTCCAAGATGCGCGAACATATGCATGCGC